CGTACTAGTATACGATTAGGCTCGCTTGTCATATCAGCTTCTACGCGGACGTCTAAATTGTTTTCCATCACCGTTGTCACCAAAATTAATATTTCCTGTATACTATTTTCTATAAATATCGCTTCACAGACTGTCCTCTGTTTTGTCTAGTATATTTCCCAGCGCTATACTTGGAATTCTGGAACATTCAATATATGAGACAAGCAATGTATAGCAACTGACCAGCTCAACTCAGGACTGGCCGAACTCGCGAAATCCAAGTTCTTCTCAGCCCGCGAAGAAAGCCAGCCAGCAACGCCCATGCTTTGCTCTGAGGCACCGAGGTAGCATCTGTGGTTGTTGTGCCTCCAGGTTATCCTCCAACTTTTACCCGAACAGTCGTCTCGAAACCAGCCCCATAGCTCGTTTGAATAGTGCCAAATGTGAACGCAACGCACAACGGCCAATTTACAACAGTTCCACTGCGGACGCCAACAACCTTGTGAAACCAGCAACGGCCTCAGCGCTGCAGCGCCTTACTCACACCCGACTCTGAAACGAGACCTGGGACTCGTCAACGAGAAAGATAACATATCTACGACCCCAGAGTCTCGATGCAGGGCGCAGGGCTACTAACCTCTAGCGCTCTCCACACTTACGTCTGCCAGCGGCGAGAAGAGTATTGTTGCACCTCTCGACTAGTAACTCTCTCCGGCATTTTTGGACATGGAAGCTATATATATACTCCAGACCTTTGCACCGCTGCCACAACTGATGTCTGTTCGCAGTTGGTCGAAACTGTGCTATTCAGACGACGGTTTGCTTCAGAGGCCGCCTCCACTATTATATTGGAGGCACAGATACCCTGTGAGGTTAGACCATTGCGCGCCACTCTGTCCCCAATCCAGATTTGAATGGGAGGCAGAATGCTATATATTCATGGAAGTCCTAGGGTAGGGAATAACGCCGGAGCTCCGCAAATTAAAGCTGTCCAGATCGCGGATAACCACCATTCGTTCCTGTTATCACCTTGAAATTCAGACTTCACATACATTTGACTTACCTTTCACCACTTCGCGCTGGGCGCGCTTGTCACATATCATCGACTAGTTTTCATCCACTGACTAACACATCTCCAGCATTTGCTATTGGCAAACTTTTCTTACAACCCTCCTTAACGGCACCGGCCGGCTATTCACACGGTTGACATTGTCAAATCTGTGACCATGCGGAGTCTAATCATACTTCATCTTAGCATCCAATGCTTACTGGGCGGCATCGCCAGGGCTAACCTTGTTACTCGTGCCGGAGGGGTCGTCGTGAAGCAATGCCCGGATAACAAACCGGTGCTCTCAACTTCCTGCGTCAACGCTCTCATCGGCCCCGATGCTAGTAACCTCGAGGGAAAACGGATCTGTGACGCCTTGTGTCATCGCATGCCCGATAATGCCGCCAGCTATGTGGATATTCCCATCACGCCGGGCGATGGGGGTGCCATAACATCGCTTGACTATTCGCAACTGATGCAAGGCTGCGGTACTCATCAGAATATCGTCGACGCCTTCGTACAAGGATGCGGCTGCTACGCGGGGAATGAAAAATGCATCATCAATCTTGCGGCGCCTCCGACTACGACTTCTATGAATGTGCCTCCAACTAGTGCTGTGACGAGTGTGCAGAGCTCTATTGCTCAATCTGACATACGTATGGCTGCCGGACATCCCCTTGTAGCTAGAGACAGGCTTTCCTTCTCCCTGGCCACTGAGATTGGAGCCACTGCTAACGCACGTACAGCGGCGACAGATAGCAATGCACAATCTACCAGCACTAGTGAGACCCCGAATGCATATTCATCCAAAGCCCCAAGCGGCTACAGCTCGAACGCACCCGATACGTCAGCTGCAACCGCTACTAGTACTTCGCATATGACGTCCAATACCCCACGGCCGAATGTATCCTCGTTCGTCAACTACCAGCCACCAGCAACATCGACTAGCAGCACCATGCAGCAGCCACCGATGTATGCCGACAGCAGTATGACCACGAGCTCCGTGCCGAGCTACACGTCAATGACCTCGGTCACCGCACCTTCATACACCCCTTTGCCAAGCGAACAATGTGCCGTCAAGGAATGTGCCGGGAACCGGGGCTCATGGCCTCCAGGCAATTGCCTTGCGCTTGACGGCCCTCCCATCGATCAGACGTACGCACCCCAAAACTACTGCGCAGCGCTCTGCCAGAATCAGTTGTACGAGTACAGATACGCAAATACATGGGCAAATGTTCCTCAGAACGTCTACGATTCCTGGCTATCCACATGCTACAACTCGCACAATAAGGTCGTCGAAGCGTTCACACGGGGATGCGCTTGTATCAACGAGAATCTAGGCCCCGGAAAGGCCAATGCTTGCACAATCCCACCCATGCCGCCAGTCTACTCCAGTACGACGATGTCGCAGTCTATGACAAGCGCTTCTCAAACCACTATGCCTTCATCGACCGCGGCGCCATCGACTACGCAATCTCATAGCATGTACTCCCCAATGTCGATGGAGTCTTCCGCCGCTTCGACCCCTCCGGTGCCATCATACCCGGACCTATCGAGCGCGAGCTATACCACACAGGCTGTTAGTACGATATCTCCTCCCGCCGCACCAAGCTATGGATATGGCAATACGCCCAGCAATAGCTCCAGCGTCTCGGTACCCTCGGAAAATACTCCTTCCGCATATGTTTCAAGCATGTCATCGATGTCTATGACATATCCGACCAGCACGGGATCACCACCTGCCTATGGCTACACCAACAGTTCGACGCCCACACCTACCGCTCCGATGTCACCACCAACATCATCGACCGTTCCAGGCGCATGCAACATCAAAAAGTGCGAGAACCGCACCTCGCAGCCTCAATGGCCGACAAATTGCTTCCAGTGGTACGCACGGAGCCTTGATAGCACGAGAACCTGGTGCAAGAATATTTGCACGCCGGGGTATCAAGATTCACCATCGTACAGGAATATGCTCCAATATAGCCCAGATATCCTGGGAAGGTGTGGTGGCTCTTACACAAAGTATATCGAGGCTGTAGCCGAAGGTTGCGGCTGCTTCCTCGACGAAGAGGTCGCTAATACATGCGTATTGTACAAAACTCCGGTGGTATCGAAGCCCGCAGGCCATTCGACACCGGCTACTCAACCATCCATGTATACATCACTTCCTGAGTGGTCCACCACTATGGATACTCCATCTAGGTATGAGAAACTCTGATGAGATACGCCTGGCTGCCTATAATTCAATACTGACAAGATATCTCACTTGTAGCACAACTTCGATGATGCACGTCACTGGCACAGCCCCCTCTGAACCCTGTGTCAGCAAGTGCCCCGACATGTACGGTGGCCGGAAGGGTTGGCCGGAGGGTAACTGTTTGGAGCAAGTCTTCAATACTCCAAATGCTCTGAAGCCAGGAAATGTCATCGACGCCATCTGCAACCAGCAATGTGGACCCAGCCCTGACAAGCGATGGCCCATGGCTTATATCCAGCAATACCAGATGGCAATGCAGAAGTGTGGCACTGTAGAGGATCTCCAGAAGGCCCTTGCTGCTGGCTGCGGCTGCTTCAACGACGGATGGGTTGATAAATGCGTCATAAACTGCCAGCCGCCCAATGTCTACAGTTACACGACCCAAATTATGGTCCCTGTAACGGAATACGGAACAGTCCGGACGACAGCTCTACCAGCGACAGTCATTAACGATACTGCTGCCGGCACACCCGTCACCCTTTACGAGTCTGTCCTTGTGACAGCTACAGATACCGCTATGGATTCAGCCACTCCCTCCACCAAAACCGAGACGGAAACATCAATGTGGAACGAGCCAAGTGCCTCCTCCACTGAGATGCCCCACTCATGGCCGTCCTCGATGCCAAACTACGGCGCCCCAAGCACGATGTCCACCATCGCCTACGTCCCAAGCCATTCGGCAGTATGCACCTGCGGCAACCAGATCCCCTCGTGCACAGTCCCTCCAGGCCCTGTGCAGACCGGCTCTCACAACCCTATGTGCAACCAATGGTACAAGGTGGTGCCCGGGGATACCTGCGATATGATCGCATGGCATTTCAAAGACCAGGCCATCACGTCTGACGATATTATGAGATGGAACGAGGCCGCAAGACCTCGCTGCGAATCCATCCTCGCCGGCTACTGGATCTGCGTCGGCATCCTGCATGACAACGAGCAGATCTATATGCCCACCGCCACACAGCTCCCAGGCTACGGTTACACCGGCAAAGTGCCGCCTGCCATGCCTTCCGACACGAGCACATCGGCAATGTCTTCCATGACCACAACCCCTCCCGTCATGTATTATGACTCCACGATGTCGATGTCATCTTCATCCACATCGACTACCATGACTTCGATACCTGTTCCTCAATATAAAAGCCAATACGAACCTGCCCCCAGCAGTTCGACACCGCCAGCTCCGGAGTATGCATACCAACCCGCCCCCAGCAGCTCGACCATGACACCGGAAATGACTCCTGTCGGTGTTTACACGAGTACGCAGACGCCGGCAAGTAGCCCGCCTGCGGGTGCTCCTGGCAGCTATAAGTTCTTTTAGTTTGTTGTAGGCATTTCATTTGAATTCGTCCCTTATTCGCGCATGTCATGTTTTATGTATCTTATTCATGTTGCAGCAAAATTCGTCTGAACGAGCAATCGTAAAACATGTATAATATACACATATCCATTTTGCTTTCCTGCGTGACGTCCAGATCACCCTGGTAGATTGTACAGAACTTCAAATTTCTAGAGCAATGCGATAGGCTCTCTGATATCATCAACGTAGATACGACTCGTCCTGTCCGCGACTCCACATACAACTTTCTCGAAGCTTAGCTAAATCAGTTCGCTTCATATCTATATCATGTCGTCCAAATAACTTCACCAGTCTGAGAACGAAAAAAATATCCAACACAACGTCGGAAAGAACGGAAAGCAAAAAAAAGATGGTGACATCTGCGCGGTTCGAACGCGCGCGCTCTTTCGAGCATTGGTGTAGTTTAAGTTTGTTTACCAAACGGAACTTAAAACCAACTCCATAACCACTCGGACAAGATGCCAAATCGAGACTTTCTGAGTCGGAAAGTCATATGTAAGGCTAGTTACAATCTGGTCTATCAAAGACAAAAGTACTGACCCAACGTGTTGTGTCCCCGCCTAGCGTTCGGATGGTAGTGTCTCCAGACTACTTGCTCCGTGACTACTTAAGTATGCGTAATCGCCCATTGTAGCTCATACCTGTTGCACTTTATTGTTTCACAAATAGAGACAAGATAGCGCTGAGGATCAGTTAGATTCTTGATAACCTGGCATCCAATATCGATCTCGTCCCGAAATTTCTCAAAATACAAAGTCCGGCCTTATCGACGGGACAAGGGCAGAAACAGGACAAAAATAAGACAAAAAAGTTGGCGCATCGGCTGAAACCGTTGCGAATTATGATCAACTTGGAGCAGCAGCGAATTGAACGCTGGACCTCATCCAAACGATGTCCGAGGACACGCTAAGGAAGCGCTCTACCAACTGAGCTACAGCCCCGAGATGGAAGCTCGAGTCTCGTATGTCATGATAGGCTGGTCGCTAAATTTTTCCCTGCTGCTTGGTGTTTGAGGAGCGCTCATGGTTGGAATTGCCTGATTTGGCGATATCAAACGGACAAACGGACAACTCGAAACTAATTTCCAACAGAATCTGTACGTCAAACGCATCTGCGTAATATAATAATAATGTCAAGGAAGGAATTCTTACAACGTTGAAGGTATTAGCAAGTTTCTTCGTGCATTGTGCAATCATCTATATACAAAATCATGGAGACCCTCCAGATCATAGGCATAGTTACTGTCAGCTTGACGAGATAATAATTAGAACCAGCTATTCAACCGAGCCCTGTTCATCGGACGGATCGCGGAGAAATGGGATATCAGGACTTTCGCCATCCGCTGGTATCGGCAGTAAATCCGTTCTGAACGACTCCAAAATTCCAGTAAGGTCAGCTGGGCGTCCGCGTCGCCGCCTTGGGCCCACTCCCGGGTTCGTCGGCCTCAACCCATTTAGCTCCCGTCTTAAGGCTGTCCTTTCAGCTCGCCTGGTGTCCACGTCCTGGATTCGCCTCAGAAGGTCTTGAATGTATAGTTGGCCTACATCTGGGACGTTTGGACGGATAGTTTCTTGTTCTTGTTCTTCAGGTGTGGTTGGTATTACGATCGGGTTGTTCCGATCGTTGTCTGTGAAATATCGCTTCCGCGAGTCGATTATCGCTTCCTCTTCTTCTCTTTCAAAAACCCGATTGCTGATTTCTTGTAGAGGCCTTTTGGTATTCAGGCTGGGTATGTTGGTAGTATCCAAAGCTGGGATGTTAACTGGTAATCCGTAATATGGGGTCCCGCGTTGCAGTGAATTGAGTCTTGCATTTGTGCCTAGATTACCAAATGGACTATTGACCCTGTTGCGCAAATACCAATCCGCTGGAACAATGGGCTGTAGCCGCGTCAGACGCTCAAACTGCTGGTCCGGAATGGGAGCAGGTACTATGTTTTGAGACTGCTCGTTTGTTCACACCAAGTCAGCATAACTTCCTAGATTTTAAAGCATTGGTATGGTAGGACAAACCGGATTGTAGACATTGAGTCGACCCGGCTGAAGGTTCATCATGCCACCCGTTGGAGGGGGTGTAAGGATCAAAGGTTGAAAATTTTGACGGGCATTCCCAAAAAATGGATCTTGCACAGTAAGGGGCATTTCTCCCGGCTCCGGTTCACCGAGAATAGCATCTTCCGCTTCCTGCTTCGTTTGCTCTTCCTTCGCTTGCTCCTCCTTCGCTTGCTCCTCCTTCGCTTGGGGAATGAACTCCTCCTTGACGATTTCCTCAATGCTGCTGTCAATGTCATTCTTGATTTCGGGTATATCTTCTGCCTTCTTCACTTCAATAATGTCATCTCCACCATTACCAATATTAATATTACCGAATGCCAGACCGGCATTGGGATTTTCTCCGACAGCTCCTTGAAAATAGGGCCAGAAAGGTGCTTGATAAGGCTGGACCTGAGGCAATGTTCCCAATCCGGCATTTGACGTCTGGATACTCCAAGGGTTTTGCGATTGCACATTTCGATTAACAGGCTGACTGGGCCTGCCATGCTTCGCTGCCCACAGCTGCAATCGATACTGCAAAGCCTGTCTCAGGCCATCCAAGTCCTCTTGTAGTCTCTGTTGTGCCTCCTGCGACAGTGGTGCTGTTCCGCTATTATCATTAATCCACTTCATCTCCGTCTTGAAGAAGTTTTCGAAGAAATTCTTTGCGGCTTCCCGGGCAAGTTTCTCTGGTCTCCTGTCCGTCTCCCACGCTGTTTTCGGCGCCTGCGTGTCCCAGACAGTGTTGGTGTTCTCAACGACCCTGTGGTCCACGGCATTTCTCGCCAGCCGTTTCACGAACCCCTCACCGCGCTTTTTATCCCCAAGAAGCTCTGGAGCCACGTACTTGATCCACTCAGCGGTGAACGGGAGGAGTTGTTTCCAATTCGTGTAGACGGCTTCTCCACCGAACGCACGCAAGTCGATCGACTGGACTTCAGGACCTGGTTTCAGGTATATGACGAGCTCCGGTGCCGCCTTGCCGCAGTTGAAGTCGGGTTCTTGCCAGAAGCCAATTGCCTGCAGTGGATTCGACCCATGGTTCATGAAGGCGGCAACCCGGAGAATATTTAACTCTGTGGTGACAGGGTCGGGAAAGCTGTGGCATAATGCCTTCAAATCCGGGCGACTGCTACGGTTGAGACTGATCGCTTGTGCCCTCAGCGACGCTGTGCTTGGAGGGTTGCCCTGTAGATCTGTGTAGCCCCATAATCGATAAAACGCATGGGACTGTTCGATGAAGGAGATAAGGATAGTGAGAAGGTATGTGCGGAACATGTCCGTCCGCTGCATGCTGGTGAAGCGCATGGCTGCCACGTGGATCCGAGGACATGGTAGTACAATAGTAGTAGGCAGGGTTTGAAGTCCGATGAATAGATTGCCATGCTGCTCGAGCGCTCGCCCTGCCGAACTTGTGTATGAGCTACATTGCTGCCTTTTGCGGCATATATTAACTTTAGAATACACAACAGTACGACAATAGGCCGATCAGATATTAGGGATAAGCCTGTGCCCATTATCAGACCATATGTACAATGTAAAGAAGCGCTTTCATATCTAGATCTGGCATGAGGATCAAGATATAGGTCTAGCAAGCATCCGAACCAATATATTGAAGAAGCATATATATCGCTCCGGTGGGTTGGTGATATTGTTAAAATTCTGGTTCCACTTTGTCCTGCTCAGGTTCAACTTGGTCCTCAACCTCAATCTTCTCATTCTCGGTGTTTGATTGCCCCAGAGGCTCAATTTTGCCGTCATTTTCATTCGTTTGGAGGCCGTAATTGTAAGGCGCTAGGTTTGTGGCACGCTCATCTTGTAAAGGTGGAAACTGCTGAAAATTATAGAAATATGGTACCTGTCCGAAACTTTGTTGTATAGGATATCCGAAATTGGGCAGATTTCGAGCTAAGTGATCCATCAGGATGTTGTTCTGCATGACATTCATGCATTGCCCAGGATCATATTGCAGCTGGGGATATGACGCTTGAGCAGGGTAGGACCCAAACTGAGCCTGGTCTTCCTGTGGGCGTAGATTATTCCTTGAGGGTAATTGCTGCATCCTTAGGATATCTTGCACTAGAAGGTTTTCTTCAACGTTCGCTTGTCCCATGGTATTAAATTTAGAGCGGTCTTGATCCAGCGGGCGGTTATCAGCGTTGAGGCCATGGAAGAACCCTTCATTATCCGTAGAGTCGCCATAGACGAATTTTGATCTTAGTGATATATCTGGATCCAGATTACTCAGACCACCATTCAAGCTCTCTTGTATCCATTGAATTCGGTCGAAATCCGGCTCATCGGATCCGTATGCGCCGAAGAGAAGTTCTCTCTGCGCTATCTGTTTTGCTACCAGCCTTTCAAAATATTTCACCTCAGCCGCGGCCTGCTGAGCTTCCGACATGCCCTCTTTAGGCTGTGGAAGCGGGATCCATCTTACGTATGGTAGTGCTGAGACCGTATAATATTGGACTGTCAAATCTTTTATGTCGCTGATGAGATAGATCGGCTCGAAATTATCGTCTGGTATGCGGCCCGCAAGCAGTTCTGCTGAATGCATCTGATATTGGTCGTCTATCGGACCTTGAACGTACTGTTGGAACCAGCGACTCCGGGAATCGAGAGGCTTATATTCGTTGTAAAGCCCTGCTAGACCGATCCCTTGATCGGGCAGTGGGCCACCGAGATCGATCAAGTAGATTCCATCGAGATCAGGCATCGTATATCGAATTATAAGGTCTGGCGGCCCAGCGCAGTTCTTTTGCTGCCGCCAAAAGCCAATAGCCTCGACTTTGTTGTCGTCACTAGGCTGATTCAAGACGTTGATGAAGCGTAAAGGATTCCGATCCCTTGATTTAGCAGAATCGATGCGCGGCCGGCATTTCAGATCTCGGGCTTCGTCTACTGCCGGACGGGGTTTTCTGGGTTCTGCTCCAGTCGGATCTCGGGCGAAGATACGTTTCCAGGCCCATGTCGGAGAGAATAGAGCAGCTACCGTCACAAAGCGGAGCAGCAGCGAGCCCGCAGACGGACATCTCATGGTTGTCGAGTCGGCAGATTGCCCTCTGAGCCAGAAAAACCAGACTCAAGAGGCAGGCATGTTAGAAACGTGAAGGTAATGCCTAGCCTGAACCTCCACGCGTAGCGTTCCGAAAGTCATGCATGGTTCTGGACGGAGTGAGCCAATATTGAGATAATTTCTCTCAGAAGCACCACTAAATATAAAGCTAAATTCAGGACTATGAACCATCACAACATATAGTACACATACAAAAGAAATAGGGCATTTATAATCCCACTCTTGACTGGTTAGATCCAAGATGGATTTAGGGATTTGGATGCTTATATGGCGAGCGTGGACTTGGCCCTACTAAAGACAGCCTGCAGGTCTGTTAAGTGTTCCGCTAGAGAGTTTGGCCAGCGAGATCAAGCCGGACTCTAATTCTATTATCCTTAGGCGCCGTCTGGATCAAATGGTTGCTGAGGATCTTGATTTCCTTGCATAATCTCATCGCCTCCTATTCTCATATCTGTGGCCCAATTGTCCATCGAAGTCCAACTCATGTCTTCAAACCCCATCCCCGCCCCAGTATCACCAAGCTGCTCTTCGAGATCCTGTAGATGTTCCAAGCTTGGATGCCCTTGCTGTCCTCCACCATTTGTTCCTAGAACACCCATCAAATACTGGAGCTCTTGGGCACGCGGGTCATTTGGGTGCTCTCTAATGAACTCAAAGCCAACCATAAGCGATGAGATCTTTTCTCCTACCATTGGGAACGGTTGCACTACGAAGTTGAATTCTTCGGATGCAAAGTCAGTATTGAGCGCTGCCTGTTCGGCCTGATATGCCTGCTCTCTCGTCCACCAGTCAGAGTATGCATTCTTCAAGGAGCGTGCTAACGACGCTT